CTCAAGACATCCGGGAGTGGTCCCGCAGCAGCAGGCGCATCTATGTCCCGTTTCTCTACAGAATCGAAGCTGCGCAGTGGATAGCTCAAGCGTCCTGAAACGAGTCCAAGACATGTCGCAGGACGCTGTCAAGACTCAACTAGTCGTTGGTATTCGGTATCTCCCACAGCTGCTTCCCCACCCTGAGAGCTGGGCAGCTGCGATGTGAGCTCCAAGGCAGATCTCTGCAGCCCTAGAACCTTACCCTTCAACCACGAAGTCGCAATGCCATGGTAGATTCGACAAAGCAGCAACTCTACAGATTTGGCAGAGGCGTTTGAGGAAGACCAACGCATGATCTTGGCCATTTCCGGGCAAAATGCAGGATCTGACAAAACCTTCGGTGCCCCTTCCTGAAGACTACTATCAAGGACTCCTACGAAACATAATCCAGACTCCCAGATTACATCCGACGCATGGGACCACTCCTGGCATGAATCGGAGGGAGTGGTGGGATGCTCTTCGGAGGTCCCCCTGAGCTCAACTTTTGAATCAATTCCGATCCCTCTGCTTGGCCTTACAGGGCTGGAGGGTTAAGACTCTGTTGCTCGCTTGAAGCTTCTTTTGTCGCCCTGGCAAAATTCCGTGGGGTATACTCCCATGACGAGCAAACTCTCCCACAAACGCCCTGAAAGCTCAAACTAGGCTCAACGGCAGAACGAGCCCGGGAGAGTATGGTCCCTTGAAGGCTTGCAAATCTGAGTCGGGTGCCTCCGAAGGACACCCACAGAATCCCTCCAGGCCGCGAAAAATTTGCTCCCAAGCTTCGAGCCTATAGCCTGCCCTCAGACCCGAATGTCACTCCCCGAAAGGTCCCATTTACAACAATTACATCTTGCCTCTCTGCGGTTTACCACATCGGCTTTTTAAGGCTTTGGGTTAGCGAGGGTGTGGGCATCCTCGCAGACGCAAATGTTCCCTGAAGCCCAGTCTCGAGAACACACAAAACCACACAAGTGCTTAAGAGGGCTCGTTGCAGGAGCTCCGGCCAAACAGCTGTCGTCATGCAGTAGTACCGAAGATCCATCATCCAGCCCTCGCTCAAAGTCAAAGTGAGGCCTGCGGGCATGTAGGGGCTCGGACATGTGACAGAATCATGAATCCTGTAGGAACCTTACAACGGCTTTTCTTTGGGGCCTTATGGATCTTCTCAAGCTCCCCTTGCACGACGCTCCCAAAAGGCGGCCCTTCAATGCCAGGACTTCAGGGCCTCGGGCGCAGCTAAAAAGCCGCAGATCAGACCTTCTGGGAGACTACATCCCCGGTCACACAGCGTGCATCTTGTGTGGGAGCTGCTTGCTTACCCCTTGCTTTGCTGGGACAGACCCAAGACAACTACGAGGGAATCGATTCCAGACACCTTAGCCGGGCCGGCACTTGCTCCACTCTTGCAATACGGAAGCTTCGGGGTTCAATCTTAGAGTGTCGGAGCACAAAGCCCAAACTTGCAAACTTGAAGCACTGCTGTCTGACGCACTCCGTGCTCTCCGGATGTAGCCAGCTGAAACGGATGGCAGCAAAATTGGCATAGTTGAACCTGGCAAACGGAATTTGCGGCTCCGAAGCTGAAGGGCTTTGGGAATCGGAGCTTCGACTTCAACAAAGACTGGGGCGACTGGGGAGTCTGGACAGGGAGCAAGCTGCTGAACGCCGAAGGGCTACAAGCAGGCAATTGTGGCAGAGAGAGTAGAGCGGGAGGAAGCCTCATACCAACACGACTGCGGAACCACTCGCAACTTACCAGCCTAACTTGAATCGCTTTTAATTGCAATCACTATACGAGCTCGAAGAAGACCCACCTGAATTTTAAGAGCCTCATACCCTTGGCACAATAATCCCCGATATGGTACAGGATCCTAACTTCAAGCCGCAGGGTACATGCAGACTTTCAGGAAGGACAACCTTGGCCTTTTCGGGACTCCTTGGCTCGCTGTCCCGGGTCTGCAGTGCTTCAGAGATTTGGGAGTTTCCCATAATAAGGGTACCTTATGTTGGGGTCCTTATAATAAAGGATCCTACTATTTGGGGTACTATATTAGGGTCCCCTATTTTCGGAAACCCCCATTTCAGTATTTGGGTATGGATCAAGGACATGAATCCCCTTCAGCCTCCAGGAGACCGAAACCAGTCGATGAGGAAGCTTCCCGGCCTGAAGACAACGCTTAGCCCCGATGCTCCAGCACTGCTGCTGCAAATCGAACATCTTCTCCTGCAGTACTTATGTTTCTACCAGCACCCCAGCCAACGGACAGTTGCCAAGCAGGCCTCTGCGCATGCGAACTTTAGCTATGAAGCCAACAACAAGCGAGCCTCCACAGCGGCTCGCTCAGGAGAGCGTCTCCAGCGAGAGCTGCAGCTGGCCGCGCAAGGTGAGGCCATCCTTGGTAGGGAGTTGGGTGTCCATGCGCTCTGGCATTCGAACCTTCGGGGCCTCGCCCCCATGCCGAGACGAAAAATCTTGCTTCACCCCGAGGTGGCATGGATTGTTGGGCAAAGAGGCGCTGATCATGCATCGTACGATTTGGGGGGGCAGTTTAGCCTCCCAGTTCGTATCTCCCCGTTGAACACGGGCTGGTTTCGCTCCAAAAAACTCGTGGTGTGCAGACTCCATTCATGAACCCGTAAGCTGTGGCGGCACCTCAGAACACAACAGCTCCCCAACTGTGAATAGCACTCGTAAGGGAGGAAGTGTGACGATGCCTGCAACGAACGAACGCGCTCCCTCTAGCAACCCGCAATGCTGCTGCTCGCTGTGACTACTTGGAAAGCTGAGAGACACCGTGCATCATACTGCCTCCCTACGTGAGCGATACTATCTATCCAAGCCCCAGGCAATAGGTTCCTACCTCACTCACTGTTGCAACTGCATGATGGAACACATCTTTGAAGGCCTCAATTCAAAACGGCAAACCCCTGTCCAGAGAGGGAGCTCTGGCTCTGGCTCCTCAAACCTCTCTTGTGCAGTATACGCGGCGTTGGACCGACAAAGAGACTCGCAAGCATCGGTCAGCATGCCTTGGCGTGATGGGCTGAGCTGTGCGCGGATCTAAAACGCTGCAGCAGGCCTACTCGAGCTGACAGTAAGTGGGCATCGACTGTAATCTTCGAGACTTCTGAGGCTTGAGCTGTAGATGTAGGTGCAGCAAACCAATCGAAAGAGCCGCGGGGAGAAACCTCCATGTCCGACAGGGCGTCCATAGAAGGGTGGCTTTCAAAAGGCACAAGCACCGACACTCCCTACAGCCGCCGGTCACCATGTCAGCAAAACACACCTCGGATACGATGGTTCCTAAAATTTGTGCAGCGGACTGCGCCAACTTGCTCTGGCTGCCTGCGTAGCATTGTGACCCCAGACTGCCCTTCTGGCGAAGGTCCTCCGAGGAGCAAGGAGTGAGTTATCATCCTGGCTAGACATGTTCTTATCGGCGAGTCACGGCATCATGCGACGAGTCTGCCTATCTAGCAATTGCCATCGCTTCTGTTGTGTACGAGCGGATCGCTGCATGACAGGACTCATGGATCACAAGTATCGGTATGACGAACGACATTCTCTCAACCAACGATTGCCACCGAGTCTAGTTAGAGGCTAGTTGCTGACCCACCGAGCATCTCTGCATCACAACCCTGTCAAAAACAACCGTCGAATCGAGACAGGCAGCCTGTTGCAGCTTTCCATGCCTCTCGTGTTCCGCTGCCGGAGGTAATGGTTTGACGTTTAGTTCCCGAAGGTTACAGGTGCTGTTGCACAAAAGCTGCATGCGTAAATTTGTGCGAGTTCATGCCTTTGATCTTATTCAACTGCATGGGCATTGACAGAACAAGACGGCTTGTCAAAGACGCCCCAGTCTTTGCACACCATGCTCAAAATGGCCTGTGTTGTGCGAAAAACCAAAATCCTCAAACCCTGAGACCCTGAACCCTCAACCCCGAAACCCTTACGTCCTGCAAAGCATGCCAAGGTCCACGGATCCGAGTCGCCTGGCAGTCATACAGTAGCTGCGTGCACACCGAAGGTTGCGAATAAAGCTGCTTACAAGGGTTCCTCTAAGACTCTAAGCATTCCTAAAGGGTTTAAGCTTTAGGGTTCTGGGCATGGGCCTGCATTGTCTGCATGTACACAGTGTGCCGTAGCGTACGTGCATCTGTAAAATTCCACAAACATAGACACAGGCATTGGAGTTGCCCAGCTTCAAGCATGGGCACAGATGTAGGTAGTTACTTAGATGTACATGCCGCACATGGAGGTGAAGGGAGCGTCGGTGTATTCACACATGCACCTATGCATGTGTATGTATATATATATATATATACACAATATAAATATATATATATACATACATACATACATACATACATACACACATACACACATACATACATACATACATACATACATACATACATACATACACACACACACATCGCTCATAATTGTATGTGTGTATATATATATGTGAGATACACGTACACTCCTGTTTGTATACCTACATGTGGATACAAACATACCCACCTACCTACAAACCTACAAACCTACCTACCTACCTACCTACCTACCCACCTACCCACCTACCCACCTACCCACCTACCCACCTACCCACCTACCCACCTACCCACCTACCTGCCTACCTACCTACGCATACATACACATACAGAGACCTACACATGAATATTCGTGCCACAAGTAAATACCTGAACCAGTACAATAAATGCCCAACTGCGCGCAAATCCAGCGACCGCGGTCGCACACGTTTTAACTGCATGTGTCGGGATGCTCGGTGACTACTTCGTTCATGTTTATGCTTGAGGCTGCCCCTGAAGCCCGAAGCCCACAGCCTCCGAATGCAACCCCGCTCCGAATTCCTTCAGAGACCATGGCGAGGCTTACGAGCAGTCTCCCGCAGCTACCAGGCCCGAAATCCAAGCTCGAAGCAGCTGCCGTATGCAAATGCGTAAGACCTCATTCAACAAGCAAAAGAAAGAGGCCGGAGGCGCAACCCTGCAACCTCGTCATATCCAAGCTTCACACGCCCCAAGCCTTCAAGCCCATCACCCCAAACCCGGACCTCCGCAGGTTCTCCCGGGCGCACGGGCAGTGCCTCGGCAGTCTCGTATAGGCATAGTCTTGCTGTGACCGGGACTACGTCGGGCGGAGCAGAAGACAACTCGTGACAAGCTCTGTCCCATGTTGTGCCAGGCACTTGCCAGGCACTATGCATTTAAGATAGTTGAACTGCAGGCTCGGTCCGAAACCAAACACCTGATACAATGAAAGTTTCGTCCAGGTCACTCCCGCTTGCAGCCGCGTCTTCAGCGTGTCTGCTGGATGGGACAGGGCGGCTCCCAATGACCCGGAGAACACCTGAAACGCTGCCCAGGGGTCGAAGGTTGAGAAGTGCGTTGAATCAATGAAGGTGCTGCTGAACCCCGCTCTCAGCTGCGAATGCTTGGTAGGGACTAGCTAGCTACACAGGGGCACTTTCTCCCGGTCTTGGCCCAAAGATAGTGCCTACTCTCCTTCGTCACCCCTGAAGCGACTTCGCTCAAGCAGGCCCAGAAGGCTCAAGGTGTCAATCGTTTGTCTTCCTAGGGCTCATAAGCGATCAGAGCGAAGGCTTCATGAAGTTGACTGGGAGAACGTTCGTCCCTAAATCCAAACGCCCCAAACTTCGGACCCCAGCAAGCTCTGGATTGAGTTCATGAGGTTACATATCCCCCTCACAGCCAAACACAAGGCTCTGAGCTCCTTGAGGCACAAGCAAAGACCCGTCTTATAAGCTCAGTTGCGGAGGCCAAAGCGGTCGCAGCACCCTCAGACAATTCCTCAGAGCCGGTTCCCGGGAGGCTTGATATTCCCTTCCTCCCTGATGCGGAAGACCCCCCAACAAATCAAACGAAGCTTTGTGGTGAGCAGTAGTCATTCGCTGTTGTCTTGTCATGGACAGTTCGGCTCATTTCAGGTCGGGATCCAGACTCCTCCTGCATCTACGGCTGCGAGGCTTTGGTGGCTCTGAGAAGGTCCCTCGCATTGGAGCTCACGAGACGGACCGTCTATGATTTGGATCAAGATATTGGGGTCTTTCATAGGATGATGAGTATTACTACTTTAGTCGTGGTCGTCGTCGTCGTCGTCGTCGTAGTCGTAGTAGTAGTAGTAGTAGTAGTAGTAGTAGTAGTGGCAGTCGTCGTCGTAATAGTAGTAGTAGCAGCAGTAGTAGTAGTAGCAGCAGCAGCAGCAGCGGCAGCGGCAGCGGCAGGAGCAGTAGTCGCAGCAGTAGCAGTCGTAGTTGTATTAGTTGTCGTCGTAGTCGTAATAATAGTACCAGGTAGTGGTGTGAATATGGTGAATATGACGACTATTACATTGGAACACTCAACATCAACATTACTCCTATTATACTACACTTGTTGCTCTTGCGATATTTTAGCGTCTCCAACAGTCGTGCCAAGATGCAGGTCGCTTTTCCAGCAGCCAAGTCTTGACCGAAGGGTTGATGGCAATGTAAGAGCTGCAGAATATGCCTTTCAGAGGGCTCAGCGTTTGGGGCTTAGGGCTGCCACACCGAACTTATCCGAAAACCCGGTTTTGGGGACCAGCTTCCAGGAAGCTGCTTCACGGCCTTCTCGAGTGGCGCCCATGGAATAGCCACGCCAGAGCCCCAATGTTCCATTCTGGGAGATGACTTTCCTGTCACACAAGCGCATGAATCGGCAAGGCTGTTGTCTTTCTGCTTCTGGGGCATGTGCAGTCGTGGCACTCGTGTGTCCCCGAAAATGCAATTGCTGCACCCAAACGATCTAGACCTAGCCCGTTCGGCTCAGCTCCGAAACCGACAATGTCACACACACACACCACGAATGTTTTGAATCGTCTCGGGTATCCACGGCTGGCGTAAACTGCGGCGTCAAAAAGTCATTAGACCATAAGCTATCACGAAATACGTGGCATACTCTGGCCCTTTGTGGCTGGCCTGGCTGTGGCAAACATCGAAGATCCGTGGTTCGACTGGTTGACCTGACCGCAATGCAGCCCTATGTGGCATTGCCCCATGTCTGGATGGTTCACTAATGGTATGCTTTATAGAAAACTTCAGGTCCTACAGATCTTCTTGGTGTAAAGCAGCAGGGACCTTCCCAATTGAAGCGATGATGACGTATCCCTGCAACTCTGGTCAAACCGACGCGAAGCTGATGCAATCTCTGACGTACGCAGCCACTACAGTGCTGGTCATGAGGTCTCGGAGGCTGTACATCAACCCCATCCCCTGCACAAGAGTCATGACGTGAAGGTAGCATGTGAGCACAACCAAACCTGCTTACCGCCATTTCCCACAACAAGAAATGTTGAACTCACACCGTACCAAAACAATCAGCAACGGACTTTGCAGGACATTGTTGAACTCAATACGGAAAACCAGCTCGCACAAGTACAGCAGACAGCGCATGAAAAGACACGACACAACAGATCCAGAACTTGCTATCAAATGCCAATTCGCATGACATCTCCGGAATCATTGATGCTTATTGCTCAATGACATCGCTGTGGAAAAGAAACCTGCTTTCCAGACGAGACGGTCGAGCCCAAGACACGCAATACCTCGCTCCGTTTCCAAAACCTGGCCATCATATTGCGGCATCACTTTTCCCCGAACCCTGAACACTCGGACCTCTACCCCCGGCAGCCTCAATGAGCTGCGTCGGCGACTGGATCAGCGCCGATGCGGCCTCGACTTTTTCGCGCGCACTGTCACAACCAAAGCAAAGGGGTCATGATCGTTACAATCAAAACATGGCATAGAGTGCAGCATAGGGTTTTGGGGTATTCTTCTATAGCTATATAAGGACTCTATATATGGGGATACGACTGTTAATTCCTCGGCATTCGTCAAGCGTAGCTCCACGTTTGTGAGTTGGCCCCCTTACCTACGCATGCACTCCCAATTTGCACACATGAGTGGCGGCTAACTGGCCTTGTAATCACAAAGCCGCGAAGCCCCATCTCATGCGTTTTCCGGGAGCTCATCCAGTTTTCGGCACTCTTTTTATTTGTCTCTTCTTGCCCGGCGGATTTGTTTTGGTTTGCTCTGTCCTTTCTGCGAATGGTCAATCTTAATGAGGCCTCAGGCCTGATGTCCAAAGTACCCTTAAGAGAACCCTGAACCCTGAACCCCCAACCTTGATGTTGTTTAGAGCGAGCGACAACATGGGACACGGCCAGGGCCTCTCAGCGCCCCTGCGCCCGGAGCAGAAAGACGAACGCCAGCACCGTGCTTTTGTAGGCAGACTGGTCCTCACCGCGCACGCCCAGCGCGAAGGCACCGCCTCCTCTCAGAGCTCGCTGGCAAAGGGAGCAAGTTCAGCTCAAGAGCTGTCCGTGCCGATGGAGCGGCTACCCTGTCGCAGGCCGTGGGGTCTCGGGCAGCCAACCGCCGCTCTTCAACGCGTAGAGTCCGATGCCACCCCCGGACACCACCAGGGTCTGTAGAAGGGAAACAGGCTTCAACTTAAGGTGTGGTGGCCCAAAAGACCCTAAAAGCAGTAAGACACGACTGTGACTGTCTGTAGACTGCTGGTGGAAACTGACAATGTGGGGGATCGATCACTGTGCATACATATCTCTTCAGGATGCATCAGCGTCTTTGCTGGAAGCATTCACCGACTCGCAAATCTGGGCTCTCACTGAGCGCTTGCACCCAGGAGGCCTTTCCCTTTCTTCTGCCCTTGACCTCCATCCCCGTATCCCCAACAACCGGTCGCCGGCTCCTTGGTTGCCCGCCACTTCGCTTCTGGCTCATCTGTTGGATCTCTTCAAGTCTTCGCTGTCCTACAGCGCACGCTTCTCGCGGCCACGCGCAGTCCCAGCGAATCAGGACCCTGCAGGGAGGGTCAGTTTGAGGGGGCTCTGAGCGTTGCCAGCCGCCGTGATGTCCTTTCCAGCATGTTAACCTGCTATGCGTGGGCTTGCTTACTGCTCCAGGGTAGGATGTCTCAGCGTATTCCACCGAGTGACCAATGCGCTGCGCTGCGCATCTGCACTCTCAGCGGCTCCACTCAGGCTGTGCCTGCTGAGCTTGATCCACCCCCACCATCACAGGCTTGATCCCGTGCCACCCGGTGCCGCCTTCAAAATCCTCTGCATGTCGTGTCCTCCGAAAAGCCCGGTAAGGAACACCGCAATTTGCAACGCCTCGGCTTCCCCTTGCTGGTGCTCGCAAAAAAAATAAGCCGACAACCCCAAACAGGGTTGGTTGGGGTCACATAATCACATTGTCCTCGCATGTCCGAATCTGGTACCAACAAAAAAGCCCTGTTAAGTCCGCCCTACGCACCTCAAGCGTTTTCGAGCAGGCTGTAGATCTGAGAAGACAAGCCCCAGTCCATGTCAGGATCCCAACTAGCTCCTGTGTGGCCCCAAGAGTACAGCTTCAGCGCTTTAGCCAGCAGTTTGCCACTGTTGTCTTTGTCGCGCCAAGTCGCCAAGTACCGGGACCTAAACCTCAACAGGTTCGTCTGCGGTTGGCACTTTTTCCTTTCAGATTTCAACGCCGCTCAGGGTATAGAATATCCATAACAACCTCAGTCTGCCACCCTGGAAGACAACATGCGTGTGACCGCCTCTCCATTGGGACATTTTGAACATTTTGCCCGACCGAAAGCATTTACAGCGAAACGTCGGCCACCTTGCAAAGCTATGCTCTAGCGACGGCGCAGACACGATGGCTTCCTAAAAAGGGACTCGGCTTGATGGCTCAACAGAGACTCCGCAAGCCTTTACTCGTTCCTGAACAACAATCGACCCCGAACCCCCCCAAACCCAGCAAACCCTCCTAAACCCATCTAGAACCTCATGAACGCCGCCGCCGTTGCAGCATTAATTACTGCTGTACTACGACTATACTACACTCCCGTACGATTGTACGATTGTACCATTGTATTTAGTCTTATTACTGACTCTACTTTTCTATTTGGCACAAGTGTACTTATGTAATCTTATGGTACCACTCTACGGGGACCAGGGGGGTCTGGGGAGCAGATGGAGATGAGACTTTTTAGGACGGTGTTTTTTGGATGGGGCCCTACCCCCAACACCCCGCGCAACAACAAGAGGACTCTAGCACTGGGTGTCATCCTGCGGCGTTTTGCTCCTGTCCTCTTCGCTGCCGTTCACCACAAATTCGCCGCCACATCATTACAGGCTGTGCTTTGCCGTTGCGCGTGAGGCAGCTCCCAAGCCTTCTTATCCTGACTAACAGACTGAATTCACAAAAACATCCTAATTTCCACCTCGACAACAACGCACAGCAATACGCCTGGACATGCTGCACGACTCAGCTGAGTGCCTGGAGCCTCCACTCCTCTCCCAGCACTTATGAGGAGTCCATGCAATGGCAATGTAGGTTAAACCGTATCTCCCCCAATTTGTCAGGAGGGCTTCATCAACCCTCCATGCCTCCGACCCTCCCATGACCTGGGGCTGCCACCCCAGCCATCACCGAGGCGAGGATCTTGTCCGTGTCCCGGACTTGCGACTCGGAGCCCCGCCAGGCCTCTGGGACTGAGAGCGCTCGCTCTGAAGCGATCATCATCATGGTGCTTGAGGTTTGGCGGTCGTGGTTGTGGTTGGTGGAGGTGATCGCCGTAGTGGTAGCAGTAGAGTAGCAATAGCCGTAGGACTAGGACTAGGAGTAGGAGTCGTCGTCCTCCTCCTCGTCGTCGTCGTAGCAGTAGTAGTAGTAGTAGTAGTAGCAGCAGAAGGAGGAAGAAGAAGTAGTAGTAGTAGCAGTGGCAGCAGTAGCAGCAGCAGTACTAGCAGCAGCAGCAGCAGGAGGAGGAGGAGGACGAGGAGGAGGAGGAGTGGTGGTGGTGGTGGTGGTAGTAGTAGTAGTAGTAGTCGTCGTAGTAGCAGTAGCAGTATCAGTAGTAGTAGTGGTAGTAGTAGTAGTAGTAGTAGCAGCAGCAGCAGGAGTAGTAGTAGTAGTAGTAGTAGCAGCAGCAGCAGGAATAGTAGTAG